CCACTCCAACTTGCTGGAAGTAGTCTGGAGGGCTGCCCAGATAGATGTATGGACATCTGTATGTGGATTTCACCCAAGCAAACAGCACAGTGTCAAGCAGGAGGCTGGAACCAGAACTGAATGAGAAGGGGGCGTGTGTGGGGGAATCCCAAGCCTTTTAGATTTCAAATGCACAGGAGACTCAAAATAAAGTACTATGCTAAGCACCAAAGGGAAAAAGATAGTTCTGCCTGTTATCACTGCCCCTCAAACTCATGCACAGATACTCATGCCTTCTCGAAATCCAGCCACGGCTCTAAAAGGGTGTGTTATACCTTATGTGATTGACACAAGCAGAAGAAACAATTGATGTAGTCAAAAGAAGTATTTAGAAAATGTTCTTTGGCTCTATAGCCACACTTCTCAGGTTTTGTAGCTTTTAAGGCTTGGCACAGCCCTTCCACGATCAATATGATAATTTCCATCTTAAACAAACGCTTGCTTGTGTAGGAAAAGGAAATGGTGCCCTCAGGCCTATTTTTGTCTCCTTCGCTTTGTCCAAAAAAGGCTAGTCAATCCATACTTCTGTCTGCTCTGGGAAAGTTAGTATTGGCAAGGTCTGCACTTGAGGGTGAAAAGGTTGAGGCTGGCTTCAGAGGTAGAAGAGGTAGTGGTCCCAGACCATGGGATAATGGGATATTTTCCCCTCCTAGCTTGCTGTGAGTCTCAAGAGGCCATTCAAGGCAAGTCTAGTCTTGCCTTGATTGAATATACTGGGTTATGGAACCCAATATGGATGCTGCTTGGTTTTGAATGCTGTTTTTCTACAAGCTCGTTGCATGGGCTCAACCTTTCTCTGATCAGTCTTCTCCTCTATGATATGACACCTACAGCACAGACACTCTGTGAGGCCCCACATGCTAGCTGCTTAGGAAAGGAACCAACCAGGAGGGAGAGCTCCACAAATATGCAGTTTTTTCAGTAGCACTGTATAAGTTTTCCACGAACTCAGGGTTGTCATCCCAGTTACAGAAAGAGAACAGTTGATCAGATTCTGTTTAAATGGAAACCTTAACAAATGGCAATCTCAGGGCTGGGGGTGGGGAATGGCTTTGTCTACAGGAAAGAGCTTGATTTGTAAGTAAGAGGGCTAGATTTCCCAGCATTTGTGCAAAAATGCTGGGTGTGTTAGCACACACTTGTAATCCCAGCACCAGAAAGGCAGAGGCAGTGCCCGATCGGTGAGCTCCAGGAACAAGACTCTGTCTCTAAGAAGTGGATAGTTTTTCTCACTATAATCCCAGAGGGTGTCCTCTGGCTTCCGCATGCTCACATGCATGTGCACACAGGCAGGCACGCGTGCACCCTGGTGCACACACACATTTTTCTTCTTTAAGCAGGTACGCCCACATTGCTCCTAAACACCAATATCCTTCTGTCCAAGCTACACAATTTTAATTCAGCCTACTAAAATGTTCCAGTTGTTTTTCGTGGTTCAGTAATGTTTCATCAAGATAAGCAACAATAACCATATTAAAAAAATAAGATACTAGAGGAAAGTGGATTGAATAAGCAGCTCTGCAAATTTTAGGAAAGAATGCTGCTGCCTGTGAGCTTGAGCCTGCTTGCTGCCTTTAGGAACTGTGCCTTTTTTTCTTTCTTCTTTTCTTTTCTCTGAGACAGGGTTTCTCTGTATAGCTCTGGCTGTCCTGCAACTTTATCTGTAGACTGGATTGGCCTTGAACTCAGAGATCCTCTAGTCTCTGGCTCCCTAGTGCTGGGATTAAAGGTGTGTGCCACCACTGCCCAGTAATGATTATTTTTAATAGAATATCTTAATTATTTCATAGAATGTATTGTGGTCATATTCATACCTACTCCTCCCCCAACTTCTCCCAGATCCATTCCCCACTTCTATGCTTAATTTTGTGTCTTTTTTTAAAATCCACTGAGTCCAATTTGTGCTGACCACATTATTTCTAGATGTAGGACCACCGACTGAAGTGTAGTTCATCTACCAGGAGACATGCCCTTAAAAGAAAACTGACTCTCCCTCTTCCAGAAGCTGTCAACTGTCAATAGCTCCTCAGTTAGGAGTCCCTTGCCTCTCCATAACAGAATGTTGACTGACAGTCCATATAAATGTATGTGTTTTAAAAACATCACTGGAACCATCACATGACTCATATGTAATAAGACAAGGTCTTCTTGTGACATTTCTATTTGTAAGATGGGACCCCACAACAACGATTCTACCTGGTTCAAACATATGTGAAATTACTTTTATATTCCTGTCTAAGATAATTTGTATATTGATACAAATTCAAAATTATATTTTTCATATTGTGTATGTTTCTATTTCTGTTTACAATATCTTTGTATACAAATGTAAAATTATTTTTGTCATACTGTATGTGTATTTTTACTTTTGCTTAAGGTATTTTATACATTGATACAAATCAATTACACTTCTACCTCTGATCAAGATATTTTTATATATTGTTATAACTTTGAGATCATTGTTCTTATGCTGTACATATGCTTGAAGATTGTTTATTTTTATAATGTGAAGCGTTAGTCTTTAAGCTATGTAGGTTATTAAGAATTACAGGTTAATAGTCACCCATGTTTGTCATAATTACAGTTATTCTGTTAGGTTCTCTAGATGCACATCCATGTACTCTGAGTAGATAGGTAATCTTCAAACACTTCAAAGACCTACAGAATATGGCATTTAAATGTTTTAATAATTTAAAATTCTATTGAGACACGACTGCTCCTGGCAGCACAGATCCCGAGAGAATTATGGGCACTGAAGACACTCCATGTGGAGCTTGTTTTCCTCTTGGCAAAATTAGCCTATTGGGCAAACAACCTCCCCTGTCTACACTGCTAACAGTAAGCATGCTGTCCAAAATGGACAAGCAGGATAAAGGAATAGAGACTGCTGAACCTTGCCAAGACAGGGTAGCACAGTCTTTTGAATTTTCTTGCTTCTGAAAATGGTCTGTAAGATATTCTAGGCCTACAGCCAGAGTTGGTTGCCCCAACATTGCAGAGAGACTTTGGGTGACTCTCCAGGAAGCCAACTGTTTCTGTCATTTCTTGCATCTTTTGGAAGTTGTCTGCTTGTACTTCCTGCATACTCAGGTAATGTTATTTTCCTTCTCAGGTCCTTAATGGGGTTGAAGACTAGATAGTCACAGTTATTATTCTCTCTTATCTTAGCTAAGGTATATTAGGTACAAGACTCAGACTCTTCAGGATAGGACAGCTGCTGGAATAAGCTGTCTTTTGTCAATTACCTGTAGCTTGGACACTTAGTGTGTGTTTCTTGCTTGATGTTGTTCTTGTTGGTTGTAGTTCTACTTTTGTGTATGTTATTACCCTTTCTTTCTCCTGGAAAATATTTGATAAATGTTTTTTATTGTGTATAGTTTGTATTAGGTTTAGATCCTTCTTATTTAGACAAAAGGGGGAAGTATAGTGGGTATTCGATCTGTCCATGACCTTGGGCAGACTGGTCTGACAGAGGCTATATATTTTGTCTGTGGACATGACCTCTTAAAAGGAAGGGAGGGTGGTTGCTCTCTCTCTTGTGTGATAGTCAGAGACTGGATTGCTGGTTCCATTCACCCCTGGGCAGAATGGAAGACCATGGCGGTGGCTGTTTACCTTGTTGTATATCCATTAGTGTTGTATAAATTCTTGATACCCCTTTAAAAGGGCTCTGGTGGATTCACCTACACCTGTGTATGAAGGTATGTATGTGCTAGGTTGTGACAGAATATACTTTATTTTGTGGGTTCCAAGCAAAAGTTTCATCCACACTGTATGAGGTGGTCAAGGCAATGTCTTGTTTTGTTTAAATTATTGTTCCTCAGGGATTTTTTTAAAAGAGTACTTATTCATTGTAAATTTATTCATATTTTCCAAAAGAACGGCAGTGCAAGCTGGTGCATCAGAGTACCCTGCCCACGGCCTTAGCCTTTTCCGAGGGGCAAATGTGAGCCATGCACGTGAGCATTGCCTCATTACCGCTCAGTGAGTACTTATATGCTGCCTGCAGCACGCCAGGGTGAGAAGACCCGAGTGTGTGTTAGGAGGTCACCAGGCTGTTCAGAAGGACCTGTGCCTGTGTGTTCACTGAGAAACAAGTATGAAGCCTGCTTGACCTTCCCTCCCTTAGCTTATGACTTAAAAAAATATGATCAGCTTTTTAAGCCTTGGGTACAACTTTATGTAAAATTCTAATAAATGTAACCTGAATACCCTGAAGTTTCTAAAGAATTATTTTATGAGTGTTTCGCCTGTGTGTACATGCATGCCTGGTGACAGTCCCGGTCAGAAAGGCATGATGGATCTCCTGGGACTGGAGTTACAGATGGTTATGAGACACCATGTGAATCCTGGGAATAGAACCCAGGTCCTCTGCAAGAGGAACAAGTGCTCTTAACCTCTGAGCCATCTCTCCAGACCCCCAGGGCTATTTCTTAAGGCATACTCTCGAACAATAAAAACTAACAATGAATGTTGATGATTTCTTCTTAACGATAACAAAGAACTGGGGAAGGGAAAACACACACTAGCCACTTCATAGGATCATCCATTTGGTTAGAATGCATATATTTGTTTTCACTGTCTTTAAGGAATTACTATACTTTACTGTGTGTATGTGTGCGTGCATGAGCTCCATGGTATAAATATTGAGCCTGGGGGATGATTGTCAGGAGTGGGTTCTCTCCTCACATCATAAGGGTCCCGGGCATGAAACTTGGGTCACCAGGCTTTGTGGCAAGTATCTTCGGGTGAGCCACCTCTCCAGCCAAACCCTAGTATTTGAAGACCACACTCTGATTTCTCTCCTTATTGAGCCACTGTCTATTACATATATTAAATAGTCCCTCTTTGATTGCCCCTGATTGTGAGTTTCACACTGTATCTCCCTTTATTTTTCACAGTGTAGAGAGGAGGAACAGACAGCATCAAATAACGAATGCCTTTTGTACATAAGCTCTTACCTCGGAGGAACGGGGAGCCTGGGACATAATGTATCTGCATTTGGACTCTGAGTGTAGTTGAAGGAATTCAAGCTATAGACACACAGGAAAGAGCCTGAAAGCAGAAAACACATACACTAGGCTTTTTTTTTAAATTTATGGTATCCATCTTCCTTAGGAAGCTAGTAAGAAGTCACTGCCGCTGCACCAAATCCAGAAGGAATTGGAGTGCATCACCCAGACGTGGGAAACAGTAGTTGGCGGGCACACAGAAAGGACAGGCGCGCCCTCTGAGTTGGATGCAGGTTGTCTTTCTCTCCAAACCCCCAGATTCAACACTATAATCATAGGATTGGCATTTAAATATTTGAAGGTTATTTGAAGACGATTTATTGTAGGAGCTTGAGATTTTTTAACCCAGCTTTGAAAATAATTTTTTAAAATCTCACACTCCATTTTTCAGGCAGATAAAATTCACAATTAAGTTACCTCAATTTTTTGTTTGTCTTTGCTTTCTGTTTTTAATTAATGTTAAGTCTAACTGTCTGAACCAATGGTTTTAGTACACTCCTGACTCCTTCTGCCAGTGAAAGTATTCAACGACTCTGACTTCATAAAAAAAAAACTCAAAGGGGGTGATTCGAATGAGAACCTCAGGATCTTGTGTCTGCTGTCTCCTTCTTAGTCTCTAAAGTGGCCTTTTACTGCCATGATCTGGGACCACACCCAGGGTTCAAACGAGTGCAGAAAGCCTCAAAACACTGAACAAGTTCTTGAGAAAATACTCCCGGTCCTTTTCCACATAAGAGGCACCTGCAAAGGTGTCTAATTCCTACTCTTCAGGGAAGTAGCTTCAAGGTAAGTTACGCTCTGTATCGGGGACCCTACAGGCTGCTACACCAGGTGGTATGGGGGAAAAGGAAACCCTCAGTACCTACCATTGATATCGGCAAAGAGCTGGACCTCTTCCAGGGTGTCCAACTGCTTCTCAGGACATCTGGATACACACAGGGCTGTGCGACCAAGCCATCGATCTTTGACTTCCAGATCACAGGCATTCATAAAGAACACATGTCTACAGATGCAGGAAACAGAAGCAGGCCTCAGGCTACTAAAATGCACTGCTTTAACTGTGGGCTTTGAAAATGTGTCACGTACCGTTGCAAGGGGGACTGACTAAGGCAAACGCTCCCGACTAACTGAACACTTATCACACCATATTCAAACGTGACAAATCCCTTCCTTTTCTAGTCTCTGCCTCTGAGAAGTGAGGGACATAGCAGGAGTTACCCGAGATGTCACTGAGGAAGAGAAGGGTGATCAAACTGTTCATAGTGTCCTAGAAACGGACACCTAATGACTTAATGGAAACTGCTCTAAAGTGTTCACATAAGTTTCAGAGAATAGCGGAACTCAGGGAAGTGGCAAGCGGGAAGAAGGGAGCTGAGGTTGGGGGTTGGAGGGAGCCGAGGTTGGGGACTGGAGGCGGCACAGGAGCCAGGGCAGCCAGGCAACTTTTAGCTCTTCAGCCCCAAAGCTGACTGTTGTCATCAGTGGGTCATGTGTTGTCAATGGCAGCTTGCTGCCCCCACCCCAACCCAAGGCTTACATAGACTGCTCAAGTCACAGGAACACAGGGAAGAGCCCCTGGGAGCACCTAGCGAGGGGGTCTAGAAAACAGTCTCCCTCCACTGGGCATGGGCAGAAGGAAGGTTGTGCAAGAGAAACGGTAGGACAGATTTCCTGGGTGAATGACACACACAGACTTTATTTTGTTAAAAGTTTAAAATAAAAATTCTTTTAAATCAAAAAATTAAATTATGTTAAAATATACATCCAGTTTGCCTCCTTAATCATTTCCAGCCTGTGGAAACTGTTCCAATTGACAAGGAATTCCTCCTCCTCTCCCAACCCAGGAAACCACCAGCTACCCCCCTCCCATGCAGAATGCCAAATGCCGAATGCTGAATGCATACTACCTGTCTGATTGTGAGCCCTTGTCATGGGGACAAAGAACGTCTGCTAAGCTTTAGTTCATGGAGAGTCTCAGGGAATCGTTAAAACACCCTGGAAAGACAGGCATAACCACCAGTTTAAAAAGATGAAAACTGCCTCTGAGAGGCTAAGGACTCTGCCCCAGAATTGAGAAATAGCTGAATGTGAACCCCGGACGGAAAGATTCTACAGAGACTTGCTCCCTTGCTGGTATGTGCAGCCTCCTTTCCAACTAGGAAAACTTGCTGGGCTTTTAGATGAGCACAAAGCTTTGAAATAACAGCCCCTCTCTAGGATGGGGACCTAAAACCCAAGACTTACTTTTTGAGAGTCATGTCCTGCCCTGAGAGGGGGGCCCCTTCCACTGGGGAGTTCCTCTTGCCACACACGTTGCCGAAGCTGTCATAGCCGAAAAGGAGTCTTCCTGCTGCTCCAGCCACAACCGAATAGCCCATGATGAAAACCTGGCAAAAACCCAGGGCACGTGATGACTGCCTGGCCACAGGGAGAAAACCACAGCCCTCACCTCCCTGGAGATGCTGGTGTGAGACACAGCTCTCACCTCCCTGAAGATGCTGGCATGAGACACAGCCCTCACCTCCCTAAGATGCTGGTGTGAGACACAGCCCTCACCTCCCTGAAGATGCTGGTGTAAGACACAGACCTCACCTCCCTGAAGATGCTGACATGAGACACAGCCCTCACCTCCCTGAAGATGCTGGTGTGAGACACAGCCCTCGCCTCCCTGGAGATGCTGGTGTGAGACACAGCCCTCGCCTCCCTGAAGATGCTGGTGTGAGACACAGCCCTCACCTCCCTGGAGATGCTGGTGTGAGACACAGCTCTAACCTCCCTGAAGATGCTGGTGTGAGACACAGCTCTAACCTCCCTGAAGATGCTGGTGTGAGACACAGCTCTCACCTCCCTGAAGATGCTGGTGTGAGACACAGCCCTCACCTCCCTGAAGATGCTGGTGTGAGACACAGCCCTCGCCTCCCTGAAGATGCTGGTGTGAGACACAGCCCTCACATCCCTGAAGATGCTGGTGTGAGACCCAGCTCTAACCTCCCTGGAGATGCTGGTGTGAGACACAGCTCTAACCTCCCTGGAGATGCTGGTGTGAGACACAGCTCTAACCTCCCTGGAGATGCTGGTGTGAGACACAAGCAGATAAAGGAGGAACTGCTACAGCAATTCTACCCATCCAGGTACGGTCCAGCTGTGTGAATGCTGGCACAGCCCGTGAGCAGGGAGGGCCCCCTAAAGCACCCAGACTCTGCTCTCTCCTCCTCTTTGTCTTCTTTCAGAGGCCTTCGCTTTGCGATTTTTCAGCCAGACTTGATGGATTATCTAAGTGTATCAAGGCTGTGCTAATATTCCCCCCCCTCTCTGTATGTGTGTGTGTGTGTGTGTGTACATTTGCATGGGTGGGTGCACATATGTGCATGCATGAGCATTTGTGGAGGTCAGAGGACAACTTTGGTTGCTATGTAGATGGCCTCCACTTTGGTTTTCTGAGACACCGTCTCTGTTGGCTTGAAACTCATGAAGTAGGTTAGGCTCTCTAGCCAATGAGGCCCAAACATCTGTCTATCCTCATTTGTCTCCTCCTCCGATCAATGGAATTCAGGTCCTCTTTCCTTGCAATGCCAACACTTACTGCCTGAGCTATCAGGCATCCTGTCTTTCCCTAAAAAACGTTCTGTTCGGCCAGGTGGTGGCAGCAGGGGGACAAGTCTTTAGTCCCAGCACTCATGAAGCAGAGGCAGGTGGATCTCTGGGAGTTTCAGGCCAAACTGGTTTACAGAGTTGAGTTCCGGGATAGCCAGGGCTACACAGAGAAACACTGGAAAAACCAACCAAACAAACAAAATGTTCCCTTCATCTTACTTTTAGGGAATTCGATCAATGTTATACAATTGATAGGTATCCACACACAAGTCTGAAGGAATATTTGGGTTACTTGCTTAAGCTTCACAAAACAAAGAACTTCCAAGAAAAAAAAGAATCTCAGTGTGATTCTGTGTGTCTAAATGGCGTTGACATGTCCATCTTCTGCCATCTACTTAGACCCGATGTCACCGGTACTTGTGTGTGCATGCTTTTGCCTACCTCCCCAGAGATTTATCTAATAGCAACATGCTATGTTCTGTGCGCCTTGACTTCCTGTGTGATGCCTCCCTTGGGAAGTTTGCGAGGCGGATACGGATTTGGGTTTCCTTGAGTTCCCTTCACACCATGAAGGTTCTGTGACCACCACGCCATGTTAATTCCACACGAGGAGAGGTGGTGAGCAGTGTAACAGAACCCTTGATAAACGGACCTCAGGGAACTAAACTTTTCCTAGGTGGTCCCAGCTACCCCCTCCTGTTGGAGGAGGGAGTCCCCACCTCCCAAGAAGAGACATCCAACAGCACTGCTGTCTATCAAACAGCTCAATCCGCATAGGAATATTTCCTGGCTTTGTTTTTATGGTTTGTAAGACTCCAACAGAAAAGGTGGAGAAAAACTCACGACTCCTTGGCCTCCAGTTTGGCCCAAAGCTGTAAGTGAACACACTTCCCTTCACCAATCTGTGGTGATATATTATTTATGATTTAATAAAGATTGCCTGAAGTATCAGACTGCCAAGTCAGCCACACTAGTTAGCCATAGAAGCTGGGCAGTGGTGGCACTCACCTTTAATCCCAGACTCAGGAGACAGAGGCAGATGGATCTCTGTGAGTCTAAGGCCACCGAGATCTACACAAGGTAAGTCTAAAAGAGAAATAGAGCTCATGCCTTTAACCCCGGCCTTAGAGAGGTGTATAAAAGACAGAAGCCCAGTGTCTCAGGCTACATTCTGAGATTTAGTCTCCAGCCACGCTGAGGAGAGGCAGCAGTCAGAGTCTTGGAAGAGAGCTCGTGGAGACAGGATCAACCCTTTCAGCCTGAGGTAGAGGTGAGAGCTAGTGGCTGACTGCTTTGCTTCTCTTATCTTCAGCTTGAAGCTTGAACCTCAAAACCTGTCTCTTTCTTTTTCCATGCCACACCATTCCTGTGGCCCGGTTTTCTTTTGTTAAGGTAAGGCTGTTGAGCTCCTGGCCTCAGAGGCCAGACTCCAGTATCATCAGTACAGGGAGTGTGCATGTTAAGGTGATGGGACTTCAAATGAAGTCACCCTAAGTGGGGTCTGGGAAATGGGAGTCTTCAAAGATAACTAGGAAAGGGTGATGCTGGAAAGGATGCTGGAGGGTAAGTAGAGGCAGGGATTATTCAGAGCTTTGGATTTGCCTTCTGTTTGTGTATTTAATATGAGCATAAGCACAGGCTGGGGCTCTTTCTATCTGCAGGGGACCAACCCTGTTGCAAGTCAGGCATCCTCCCCGAGCCTCTTCGTCCAGCCTCGGTTGAGGGCAGCAACATCAATAATAATCCTGTCCTACACTTGGTCAGTTGGTATATCCATCACAGGACCCAGGACCCAGAAGTGGGACAGTGAATGAACACACACACATACACTCACACACACGCTCACACACGTGCATGTACCTACGCACACTCACACACACACATCCCTCGTTCTGCTTTAAATAGGTATAGGCAGCTAAAATTTTTGCAGAAGATGGAAGAAGCCAGTCATCTAAGAAAGAACTCTTTTTTTTTTTTTTTGGTTTTACAAGACAGGGTTTCTCTGTATTGTTTCGGAGGCTGTCAGTCCAGCCCGGCCTTGAACTCACAGAGATCCGCTTGCCTCTGCCTCCCGAGTGTTGGGATTAAAGGCATGCGCCACCATCGCCCGGCAAGAAAGAACTCTTATGAGTAAACTCAGTAAAGAGAATCTGGACATATAGAAACCTTTAGATTTATCCCACAAACAAAGTGTACTTTCTCTGTAGTTTCCAGCTCAGTGCGTGCAATGTCTCAGCCGGCTCATAATTCTCCAGGCTGTGAAGGGCCATCTATGATCTTTTCCCTAGGCTACCACCCGCCGGAGAGTTTGAGCATTGGAGGGGCAAGAGAGGATCATGAAATAACATTAACAGCCCAAGGCCAAAGCTACAGACACAGGAAGACAGCTGCTCCCTATATTTACATAAGAGAATAGTGACCTGATAGGGAAGTTAATAAGACTTGGTAGGTACACAGCCTTCTTTGGGCTCCTTGAGGAGACTTCCAAGAACCTTAGTAAGAGCAGCAGCAGCAGCAGCAATAAAATCTCCAGGGCCAGCCTTCCATTGTGTGCCTAGCCAACTCTGTCCACACAAAACCAGTTGGAAAATTAAAAATTGAATAAATGCCTTTTTCCTTGGGAAGAACACATGTGGTATTTTTAGAGTGGATTCATAAGTCTTTTCAATGAAGGTAATAACTACTAGGTAGATATTATAGGGCACTGTGAGTTAATCATTTACTATGAAGCGCATAGCATGCCCCAACCTGGCATGGGTAACTTCATTAGCACAGCCTTGAAGAAGGCAACCGAGGCCCTAAGAGAATAAAGACTCAGCTCCAGGAGACTCTGAGGATTGACACGGAGGTCTGATGGGATCTGCCACCAACCACGCATACCTGAAAACACGCAATGCAGGCTTCGCATCAAGTTGCTAAGCACAGTAGGCCATGGACGTGCATGCGTGTGTCTCTGTGTGTACACAGTTAAAAGCCATCTCTTTCCAGGCTTTTGATTGTTTCTCCTTTGTTAGAAAACCGCAAGTGTTGAGGAATATTTGCCTGAGGGGTGCTGTGAGTGTACAAGAACTTCTACTCTGAGAGCTTGGATTCACCTCACCCTCACCAAGGAAACGACACCGCTGCAAGTGGGTTCTCCGTTTCCTAATGGAGACCCAATAGGTCTCCGTCTACAGCAAGAAAACAGCCTCCTGGGAGAGTTTAGGCGATTGTGAAACCCCAGAATAAGAATTTCCTAACTCATGGTCATTCTGGGCCAATCATGCAAGTTTGTCCTTGCAGCATAAACTTTAAACGATTAACATTTAAGACACATTTGTGTCCAGACACATACACAAGGGGGCCTTATGCCTGCCAAGCAGCCGTACTTACCAAACCAGTCCAAAAGAGAAAGAACACGGCTAGCCACACCGTATCTGTGCATTTCCTATAAATCTGGGGTCGCCACTCTCTCTGCCTGGGCGTTTCCTCTGCAGAAACCTGCCAGAAAAAAGGGAGAGTTGAGAAAAGGAAGAGAAACAGGTGAAATCAACGGAACCCAAGCCTATGCAAAGGCTGCTTAAAGTAACCCAACTTTGTCACCTGACTCTTTCTCCTGGGGAGAACTGCAGGGCAGATGTCAAATCCTCTGGGTGCCAAGTTCTTACTGGAGGTAAGAGCACCTTACCCTCCTTCCCCAGTCCCCTGCCTCTTCCTGACCTCGGCCCAGTACTTGTGTCCTCCGGGTCAGGTGTCCTTAAAGGAGCGGTGTCGCTTTGATCCCCAAGGGACAAGGGAGGCGGAAGCGTTCTGCCTGTGCTGGTACTCGCAGAGGCCGTTTCCCTCAGGGCCCAGGTTGTCGCCCTTACCACGTACTCGGCGCCCAGGCACTGCATGGTACACTCGGTAGTTAGGTCAGGGACTGGCAGCCGTGGTGGCCGCGGTGCACACGGGACAGAGGTGCAGCAGCCAGCCCAGGTGGCCCAGGCAGGGCGGGTAGGGAGCAGCGCCACCTAGCGGCCAGGGGCGCTAATCCCCTAGGCCCGCCCTCTCCGCTGTGGCTTTCGGTTGGGGACTGGGGTGGCACCCGGATCCCAGGAAGTGCACCTGACTACTGTGCGCCAGCTGCGGGCTGTCAGCGCCTAGAGTAGGAAGTAAGGCCTCAGGGATCATTCCCGAAGGCGAGGAGCTTGTAGGGGTGTGCCACACACAGGTGACTGGCGCTTTCTGTGTGCAGAATCCTGCCCTGAGAGTTTCACCAGCTTTTTGCGACAAGCGACAAGTTGCAAGCTGTTGCTATTCATGAGCTAGGGATCTAGGGAGACGGAGTCAAGGGACAGCGGTGGTGCTCAGGGAGACACACTGTCAAGGGGCTCCGAGCCTACCGCTCCAGCTACTATTTCTACAAAGCTGCTTTCCCTCCCCCACAGAGAGACTTTCAGAAACTTGAGTCTCAGGAACTCAACAAGGACAAAGCCCCCAGAGACCGAGGATTGACTTAAGCTGTGTGTGTGTGTGTGTGTGTGTGTGTGTGTGTGTGTGTGTGTGTGTGTGTGTGTGTGTCTGTGTGGCAGTTTTCTCGTCAACAATCCCGGTGGGTACGAAAGCGCAGCTGAGGAGAAGAACTCACCTATTTGCCCCTCCACACCCTCAGGCTGCTGGCTCACATCTTCTCCCCAAGGGTAGAAACTGGATTGCAGCAATAATCAGTACAGCAATAGAAAGAGGAGCGAGTCCAGTTTGTACAGTTCATGAGCTTATGAATGTGAGGCCATCCACGGGAGCGCGATCCATCGACCAGGGGCCACCCACATTCTTAAAGAAAATTGGTTCTGCCCAGAAACCATCAACTGTCCACAGCGTCTCAGCGAGGAGTCTTTCTTCCCGCCACAAGGCAGCGGTGACTGGTTTGTTTTTGTGCGGGTTTTGAGCAGGCAACCACACCTACTCTGAATTCCTAAGTGCAGTGGCCCTATCATGTTTCAGGAGATATTATTTTGCCTTGGTCCTCCCCGACCTCTGGCTCTTACATATTCCTGCCTCTTCTTCTGGAATGTTCTCCATTGTGGAAGTAGTTAGGAGGAGGGGTTGGTTTGCATGTATGTATAAAAATCTAAAACAATAATGCAAATATTATATTAAAAATAGCCAGGGTGGATAGAGGGGAATGCTCTTTAGTTAATGGATCTCTGATGTGTGGGGTAGAATTCTTTCTAATCATCCCACTCCTAACTCTTTTTTTGTGGGGGTTTTTGGGGGGGGCAGGAATTCTCTGTATTGCTTTGGAGGCTGTCCTGGAACTGGCTCTGTAGACCAGGCTGGCCTCGAACTCACAGAGATCCGCCTGCCTCTGCCTCCTGAGTGCTGGGATTAAGGGTGTTGCCCCGCTCCACTCCTAACTCTTAGGACCTTCCTGGAGGCATGCTTTTGAGTGAGTAGCTGCACTCCAGGAGATCCTGAATTCACTCCCCAGGACTCCCCAAGTAGACAGTGTGCTATAGGTAGAGATCTCACTGACCACGCCCAAATGGGCGTGGCCACAGGTACTTGGGGAGAGGCAGAGATAAAGGCAAGGAAGGAGGGGTCGTGTCTCTCTTGGGGCTGCGATGGAGGTCAGAGAAGGGCAGGACTCTGACTTCAGTTCTCGACTTCTCACGTAAGTGACTTCTCTCTCTCTCTCTCTCTCTCTCTCTCTCTAGTAAAATACCATAAGACTCCCTGCACAGTATCCTTGGCACGGCTCGTTTTCTATCTTCAGTGTACAACTACAGAGAGACCGGAGCTGAATCACAGCATCTGGAACAAATGAGTAGTAGAACAGATGGACAGAGAGCTTTAAATACACACAATATGTATATTTTTTATTTACCAAGACGAATACGATAGTAACAATGAAGCAAGGGAAAAAAAAAACACGATGAAACCAGAACAAAAAGTTCTATTAAGCATGGAGAATATACCGATTGGAACGACTGCTTATTGGCACTATTTAGTGACAGCGTGGACTAGGGGATAGAGGAGGCGTAGATGAAGATGAGTGATTGTATTATAATCACATCTCTTGTCTCCTACATCTGAAAGTGTGAATGACCTGATGACCCCAAGTTTTTACATCTGCCTCCCAGATGGCTCCTACTCAAGGTTTTGATGGTACACACTAGTCCTGAGAAACAGTTTTCTTCTTCCTAAGTGTATACTGAGAGTTATAAGGGAAGCTAGAGAAAGTCTTGAGAGCAATTCTTTGTTAGACCTGGAGACGCTGCTGGGGAAAACACACTGTGGGAGACATGTTTTGGCATATCTAATACAGTTGTTAACACTGGAAAGTGCTACTACAAGACATGCTCAGTGTATTTGTTTTTTGAGACAGGATTTCTCTGTAGCTTTGGAGCCTGTTCTGGAACTTGATCTGTAGACCAGGCTAGTCTCGAACTCACAGAGATTTGCCTGCCTCCGCCTTAAAGGTGTGCACCACCACCACTCAGCTTCAGCAGACTTTCTTATGAAATATGCCAAGTGTTAGAGCGGGAGAAATACATTCCAAGGTACTTGGAACCCCTCCTCGCTTCCCTGTGGCTTCCCCACTGATTAACCTTATCTATAACTTCCTAAATAGACAAAGCAAAATAAACCTCTGAACCCATATCAAAGGAAAATTAAAATACGAACAACCCTGAGAGAAGCCTCGTGACTAATAATGCCATCACTAGCTGTGAATGTTTACCACCAGATTCTATTTGAATCAGAGGCCGTGGTGGAGAGGAAGCCGAAGCAGGGTTTGTGAAGATGGAGAAGTGGCGTCGAGGGCAGGACCGAGACCTGCCTGTCAAACGTCAGCGTCTTGTCCACCTCAGGCCAGCACTTTGGCTGTCCAGTTGGACAAATGTCCTGGCAAGCGGAGTCCATTTGTTTACTCTGAAGTGTGAGACTCCATTGGCATGTCACGCTCATTGATGAAAATCAGTGACACATCTGCTTTTGCTTCTTACTAAAATATCTCGCATAAATCTCAGCAATCTTAATATACGCAGATGTTTCTAGAAAAACAGCTTACATTTTAGTTCCTAAAGTTCTGTTGCATTTGGTTTTTTTTTCAGTGAGCTTTTCATGCTGTGATAAATTCTCACACAAACATCAGTTCACCTTAGAAAAGATTTGTTTTGACTTATGGTTTTAGAGGTGTCAACCCACCATGGCTGGAGGGTTTACTGAGCAGAAGAGTTCGCCATGATGGCCAGAAAGCCAAGAAAAACATTGGGGGCTCTGTTCTCTCCCTGCCTTGTTCCAACTGAGCCCCAGCCTTGGGTTGAGAAGTCCACATTCAGAGTGGGTTCTCTCCTCTTCGTTAGTCCCTTTTGGAAGCACCCTCCCAGACACACCCAGAGGCGTGCTTTCCACGCTACACGCTCAAGGCTAACTATCACAGGTTGCCTGCGCCCCATTCTCCTCTTCTGCCCTTTTGGAGGAAATGTGTGGAGTTGCTGAGTCGGGGAACCCACCAACCGCTCCCACAACCTGACTCTGTTTTAAAAATTCTTATATGGAGATTTTCTCAAGAGACATCTGCTGGATTATCTTGAAGCTCGCAATCCAGGAACATTTTTCTGTTCTTTGTGAAGCGAAGCCAGCAAAGAAAGCCTAGAGAAGGAGGGCAGAAGACATGTTGGTGTGCATGGAGAAAAAGTAAGCAGTTGTCATGGATGTGAAAGCCTCGGTACCAGCTGCAGGGCATGAGGTCGGGTTCCCTTCTCTCTGGGCCTCTTGTAAAATGAGCCAGGCTCTTCATTTTTTCCTGTCTCTGAAAACCTACAATTTAAAAACATATGGTATTTGTGTGAAAACTAAATGCCCAAAGTAAGTAAATTAAGCGAAAGAGAAACAAGTGGGGGAGACATGGCCAATTAAGATTAATGCCTGCTCTTTGAAGGAAAACAGTCTAGAAAAAAGACAGGATAGGGATAAACTATGCCTAATATCTCATGATCTGGAAGCTTCAGGCAGATTCTAACCACAGCCACAGCAGTAACATTTCTCTACTTTGATTTTTCCTCTATGATGCTATTTTCCTTTAGCTCTGTAATGCCTGTTTCCACACATATATGTTTTAATGAGCCACATTATATCGTGAGTCAGATTTTTTTCATAGAATGGCATCCACCATACTCCAAGAGCCTTGAAAACCTCAGTTCAGTGAGGGCTAATGTAATTACCACTTTGTAACAGCAGATGGCACTGTAAGCCAGTGGCCGAGTTAAAAAAAGACTGCAAAAAAGAACAAGTTGGGTTTTGTTTGTTTGTTTGTTTGTTTTTTATGGATTCTAAGCTAGCTATCTTCCCTTATCTATGTTCTGTTATTTACATATTAAATATTTCAAAAAATTGAGGTTTTTATACATACTGTACACATACTTACTTCAATGTTGTAGGCTCTGTCAAAGGCTGTGTAACAGCCCCTGGCGTCCTGGAACTCACTCTGTAGACCAGGCTGGCTTCGAACTCACAGAGATCCACCTGCCTCTGTCTCCCGAATTCTGGGATTAAAGGTGTGTGTCACCATGCCTGGCTGAACCATTCCATTCTGTATTTATTTTTACATCATGTATATGAATACTTTGCCTGTATGTATGTATATATATACACCATGTACGTGCCTGGAGCCCTTGAAGATCAGAAGAGAGAGTCAGATCCTCTGGAACTGGCGTTACAGGTGATTGTGATCCCCCATGTGGGTGCGGGTAAATGAACTTGGGTCCTCTGGAAGAGTAGCCAGTGCTTTTAACCAAGTAACTGTTTCTCTTGCCTCAGAAACATTTCTCAACAACGACACCCTCTCCCCTTCTGTTAGCTGAGACAGTTAATGAAGGGTTCACCACCCCAACTCTTTCTTCATATTTTCATGATTTACTACTTGTTTTTAATAGTTTGTATCTAAAGTTGAAAAAAAACACACTAAGATATTGAAAGATCTACTAAATATAAATAACACAAAACCAGAATGGCTGTTCTGCCTCTTG